GGGGAGGCCCTCGACGAGGCCGGGGCCGCCCCGAAGCTGGTGCGCCGCGGCGGCCGGCGAAGGGGAGGGGAGGCAGCGCGAGGAGGAGCGCGGCGGGCAGCTGCACGCCCTCTCGGCGAGCGACTGGGGGGGGAGGGCGAGGAGGAGGGGACGCCTGCTCTGGAGGGCGGCGGGGCCTCTCGGAGGGCCCCCTGCATGTGCCGCCCCCCTCCTCCCTCCCTCCTCATCCCTCCTCCTCCTCCTCCTCCCTCCCTCCTCCTCCTCCTCCTCCTCCTCCCTCCTCTCCTCCTCCTCCTCCTCCTCCTCCTCCTCCTCCTCCGCTGGGGGTTGCTGCGTCTTCGGGGGGGGCCCGGGAGCCTTCGCAGAAGGCCGGGGGGCTTCCGAGCCTTCGGGGAAGGCCCCCTCCCCCTCACTTCTCCAGCTCGCTCGCCGCCGACTGTGGAGCGGTGCCTCTGGCCCAGGCTGCACCTGGCTCCTCGCTCTGTCTTGGAGATCCCGGGGCCCTCCTGGGGGACCCGATAGGCACCGATACCTTAAGACTCCCTGGACCTCTACCGGAGTGTCTTTTCGTCGGGGATCTTCTGACCCGAGTCAACCCAGACCCGGGTCAGCAGGAAACCAAAAAACTGAAATGCAGGAGAAAAAAAACCTGCAACGCAGGCCTTCGCAAACCCGGGGGGCTGCCATGCGCGGCCGCCTCGCGGCTCGCTATAACCCGGGTCCGCCGGAGGGGGTCTTCGCAGGATCCTGCAAGATGTGGCGCTCTGGCGGACCCCCGCTTGCACTGACCCCCGTCTCGAGGCTCCCGATCTCGCTCTGCCTTGGAGATCCCGGGGCCCTCCCGGGGGACCCGACGGGCACCGATGCCGCCACGCCCGGGGGCCTCTCCCGGCGGGCGCGCTGCGACCAGGAGGGAATGGGCGAGGCGCACGCGGCCGTGGCGGCGGGGGCCTCCTCGGGAGGCCCAGGCAGGCGGAAGCGAGGGAAGGCCGGCGGCGAGCGAGGGAGGGAACTGAGAAGGGGCGGGCCTTCTCAGAAGTCTCGGAAGTTCCGCGGCCTTCTGAGAAGTTTCCTGAGCCTTCCCCGAAGACAGAGAGAACTCCTCAGAAGGCGCGAGGGCTTCTGAGAAGTCCCGCCGCCTTCTGAGAAGGCATTCTCCTTCTCATTTCCCCCCCTCGCCCGCCGCCGAGAAGGGCAGCGGTAGCCGTACCTTGACTTGCAGGGCAGTTTTTTCTTAAATAAATCGGATTGTTTCTGTTAAAAATGCTTTAATACATGATTAATGCACGCATGAATGTATGCATGAATTCCTCGTTGTTTTATACTAAAGCCCTGCATTGTTTTAAACATGATCCGCACGCGGAACATGTATGCATGTATGAAGAACGGCACTGTACCTTGTCGCATGTTGCTCCCATCGTGCTTGAGGACCACATCCCAGAAATAAGTTCGACCACCTGGAGGAGTGTCGAAAGAGTGTCGGAAGGATGTCGAAAGCGTGCCCGACTAGTGTCTCCCAGGGCCCAGGGCCCGACACGTGAAAACCCTCCGGATTTTGGTGCTCGGAATTCTTTCTGGTGATCAAGGCTAAAGTACACCCTGCGAAATGCTTAAGAAATCATGGGTTAAGAAATTCATAGTCTCAGAACTTGAATAAAAACCTAAAGTTCCCATTCAAATCTTAGGATTTACATGGAAACATTAAGAATAAACGAGACTCTGGCCGAAAATGTAAGTTTTCTTAAGCATCGCCTAAGGTGTAAAGTAGGTTGGAACATCACAAACCTTGTCCTCTTCGCACCTCGGGGGCGCGTCAGCATGGATTGGCGATCCCCAGACGTGGCGCGCGGTCGCCAGATCCGTGGATGGGGGGAAAAGGCCCTCGCCAAACTGCGGCCAGTGCCGCCTCGCTCGGCGGCGGAGATCCGCGATGTCCTACAGGAGCGGGGCCCGTCGCCAATCCGCACCCCCCTTGATCCAGAGCGTGGATTACCTACCCCGCTTTCGCTTCCAGGCAAAACCAAGCCGCACCACGCGCCCCCTCGTCAAGCGGCCTGACCAGTACAGGCCGTAGTTTGGCATCGTCTGGTACCTCTCTTGGAAGCGAGGGTGGTGAAAGGCGAGGCAGGCTTGTTTTCCCCCTATTGATCCATGTTTGAGATCGCCTGCACCTCGCCCTCTTCTTACCTCTGGGCCTCGTGAGGGGTGCCCAAAGTGCCCCGTGGAGGCCGCGGGCCCTCCCCCCGCCCGGCTCGCTCCGCCCTGGGCTTGCAGGCTCGGCGCGGCCGCCCTCGGACATGCCGGCCGTATCTGAAGGGGCCCAAGGACACACAAATAAATACACACAAATAAGAATGATCCCCATATCTTCCTATATTTTCTGGGGTGTTGTCTTCCCCCCCCCCCTTCCCATATTTTCCTATGTTTTCCTGGGAGTGGAAGATTAATTGTGTCGGTGTGTTTTTTCCCCTCCTGAGTATCGTATCTCGTCCACAGCACACGAAGCGCCCGCGCGCGCTCGACTTGGGTCGGGCGTGTCCTCCTGCAGGCGGCTTTCGGACGAAACACACACGAATCAAACGAGTATGCAAAAAAAAATCGAAACTCCGCCGGCCCCCTTGTGGGGCCCCCAGGCTGTAGGCCGAAGCTTCGCAGTTTCCTGTGCCAGTGGCAGCTTCCAGTTTCCAATGTTACAGTTCTGCTTCTTGCTGCTTACTGTTCCTGTTTACAGTACTGCTTCTTGCTGCTTACTGTTCCTTGTTGATGGACCGCGCGAGGGGGGGAGGCCGAAAACGGGCATTCTTACCACGCCCTCATGTTGTCTGCATTGCTGGGGTGGGTAAAAATTGACACCACTCACGCAGATCGGCGGGGTCAGGGTCCAAAAACACAAGGGATTTGCCACATGTCTGAAATTCGGTGGCACCCCTCACGCAGATCGGCGGGGTCAGGGTCTCAAAACACATGGGATTTGCTACATTTCTGACATTTGCTGGCACCCCTCACGCAGATCGGCGGGGTCAGGGTCCAAAAACACACGGGATTTGCCACATGTCTGACATTCGGTGGCACCCCTCACGCAGATCCATAGGGTCAGGGTCAAAAAAAACACATGGGATTTGCAACATTTTTGAAATTCGGTGGCTCCCCTCACCGGATCGGCGGGGTCAGGATCCAAAAACACAGGATTTGCCACATTCCTGAAATTCGGTGACTCCCCTCACGCAGATCGGCGGGGTCAGGGTTCAAAAATACATGGGATTTGCCACATGCCTGACATTCGGCCCTCACGCAGATCGGCAGGGTCAGGGTTAAAAAAACACATGGGGTTTGCCACATTTTAAAAAATTCGGCGACACCCCTCACGCAGATCCGAGGGTCAGGGTCAACAAAAACACAAGGGATTTGCTACATTTCTGAAATTCGGTGGCACCCGTGACGCAGAGCCGTAGGGTCAGGGTTGAAAAACAAACAGGTCCCGACACTGCTTCACGTCGGCGCCCGGACCTCATGATTTAGCTTTTACATCGCCCATCATCCGAGACGGGGGGCCGGCGGCATGGGGCGAAGCCCTTACAGATAGTTTGAAACAAAAATCGTCCCCAGAGTATGCGTTTACTATTTTTGAAAATTCCTCCTGTGGAGGGACGTGCTCGACTTCACGCTCGCCCCCGCGCGAGCGGTCGCCTCCCAGAGGCCCCCGAGGCGCCCTCAGAAGGCATCAAGTCAGACCCAAAGCGGCCCAATAAGGCTACAAGACGGCCCCAGGGTCCCCCAAGACGGCCCGAACGAGTGCCAAGAGGACCGAAGAGGAGCCCAAGAGGGGAATACGAATTGAGACTTCAGGCCTCTTATCCCAAGAGGGCTCCAGTCGACCCCAAGAGGCCCCAGGAGGCCTCCACGAGGCTCTGAAGAAATCCTCCAGGGGGCCCACAAGATGCCCCCCCCCCCAGATGCCCCCAAGATTGGCGGCGAGCCCAGGAGGGGAGTGAGAAGGAGAAGTCCGTCCCAGAAAGCTCGAAGTCCCGCGCCTCATGAGAAGTCTGCTGAGCTCTCCCAGGAGCCGGAGTCGGGGATGGACAGACCCCCCTTTAGTAAAACGTGGTTTAGTGAAAACGACCTGAGGCCCAAACCTGGCGGGCGCAGGCCTGGAAAATGACGGCCACGGCGCCCTCTCGAGAACCGCAAACGGACAATTCACTAATCGACGTGTCACTGTTGGGGGTTCTGTCCAGCCCCGACGGAGGGCTTCTGAGAAGCCCCGCCGCCTTCTGCGAAGGCTCCTCCTCCTCGTGCCCCCCCTCGCTCGCCGCCGACAGATGCCCCCACGAGCCCTCGCAGAGGAACGAAGGATTGCAAAGGATTGCAAAACAAAAACCTTTATCGAAGGATTGCAAAAAAAACCCTTGAACGAAGGATTGCAAAAAAAAACCCTTGAACGAAGGATTGCAATCCTTCGGGGTTTTTTGCAATCCTTCGTCCAAGGGGGGGGGGTTCGGCGGCATGGCGCAGGCCGCTTGAAGAAAGCGTCCGCGCTCGCGCTCGCCCACGCGCGCGCGGGGGGGGGGGGGGGGACGGATGCCGTTCGCCGGCCCGGGCGGGCGCTCCATAAGACGAGGCCACGACGAGGATAGTATCGGACGATGAGCCATCGAGAATCTCGGAGCCGGCGGCTCTGGATCATGTCTCGGGCGTGGCGGCCTTCTCAGTCTGAGAAGGCCGCCACGCTCTGACAGGGCGTTCCGAAACGCTTTGAGAGCGTTCCGGAACGCTCTGGAACGGATTTATCCTCGTCCCAGCCCCGTCCGAGAATTGTTCACTGGCTTAGGCCAGCGATGCAGCCCTAAGAGATGGCGCACACACGTGTGGGTTGGTGAAGGAATACCTGGGGCAACAGAGGGATCAAGCGCACGGAACCGGGGGAAAAGTGCTGCATCTTTGCATCGCCGCTTCTTTCTTGCTTCGTCTCTGCTACTCTGCGAGATGGGAGGGCAAATCGCCTTGGCTGTATGCTCTTGACCTCCTTCTCCATCTCTTCGGAAACCTCCGGGGGGCGGTGCGCGCGCCGTGAGAGCTCGAAAGAGGCCTCGTGGACTGGAGGTTTGGCTTTGGATCGCCTCGTCCTCCTCGCCAGTTCCCCGAGGACCGACTACAAGGCCTTTTTCAAACGAAACGGCGCTCGCCACGAACAGCGAAACGAGGCCCATACGTTTTAAACGAATGTCTAAAGCGAAGCCAGCGCCAAACGAAAACAAACGATGGAACGGGACGCTTAAAACATAGAATAACAAAACGACACAAACACAAAGCGAAAAACAGCACACAGGAACCACACCAAGCTAAACAGCGTTGAAGGTCCTCCACTCTCAATGTTTCTCCTGCGTGGCCTCTTTCTTTTTCTTCGCGTGTTCAGCGCATGTCAGGCCACGCTTGGGATAGCGCGCAGTCCATCATAACCCCACGGGGGAACCCGAGAGAGTGAGAAACGTGCAAGATACTGACCTGACGAAGATGAGGAGGTGGAGCATGAGGAGGATCAGTAAGAGAACAAGTCGGAAAAAGGAAGCGGCCATGGAGGGGGGCGAATGAGTAGGAGGGAAACCTGCAGAGCGAACAGGAGGAATGAACGAGGATGGGAGGGATAAAGGTCAGGGGCGAAGGACAATGAGCAGCATCGGCAGAACGAGCAGGAGGAGGAGCAAAGCAGAATAATACGATGCAAATTGAAGAGGGCGGGGGGGGGAATAGTACGAGTCAGAGCTCGGCACAAACGAAATTGGTACGGAAAGAATAGGTACAATACCCAACAGCAGTTCCTGTTCATTTTGAGCAGGGCTCACTGTCGCTGTCGCCGCGGCCTGTGTCCATTTGAGACAGAAGCCGGTGCCCAACAGCGGCCGCTGTTGGTTTGGGACAACATTTGTTGTTGGGCAGTGTACCCATTCTTTCCGTACCCATTTCGGGCGTCCAAAAAAAAACGGGGAAGAAGCGAACGAGTTGAGCCGCCTCCGTCGTTTCCTCGTCCTCTTCCCCCCTCCTGCCTCTCCACACAGGTTGACGTCCGAGAAGGACGCATTTTGGATTCCGAAAGGCAAGGCAACCATAAGGCTGATAGGCTCGCAAGAAATGGAGGCCGCGCTCAGCATACACGACGGGGCCGGCATTCGGTTGGCAAAAAGCTATGCCCGTTTGGTATTGAATTCTACAGCCAGGAAAAAGGAAGGCCGCTTCGACAACATTGACGCTCACGGGCTGACGCGCATGTCCTTGGAGAGCGGAGGCCTCGAGGAGGCCACTGTTGAGGCCAAGCGGGGGGGAGCGAAGGCGGCGGAGAGGGCTGACGCTGCTCCTGCGGAACCCGTATCGCCCCCCAGGGCCACCCCGTGAACCCCGAAGCCGACGTACCTCCTGCCAGCCTCCGCCCCGACTTGGCCCGAGTTTCCTTGGAGACAGGGAGGCCGCCTCCTTCTCGAATCTCCGGTGCTACAGGAGGGTGCGCCACTCCCTTCCTTTGGCTCGACGTGCGGAAGCTACGCGACGGTGGCCCAAGGGGCCCGAGGGCTCAAGACGGCTGGCTTTGGGTCGGCCCTGAGGGAAGAAGAGCAGGTCGGCATTTCGTCGCTTGCAGCATCCCAACCGTCCCGTCAAGCTCGGGCCCCGGCAGTCTCCGAGGGACCGGGCCAGGACCTCGTCCCGGGGAGCTTTCTCTCGCGGCCTGGGGGAAGGGGCCTGTCCGCGGCTGCCAGGACCCAAGGGGCCCGCACTGACACGGCCAAGCCGAACCTGTGACTGGCAGACTGTGTGAGAGGGATGAGCGAGCAAGACAGCCAGTCAGCAGATGCCTGCCCCCTGTGGCATGGCGCCTGCGCAGGGCACTTGGCCGCAGGACGCTCCACAGAGACGCGTGCGCCTTGAGGGTCACGCACGGAGAGGTGGGAGAAGAGGACAAGTGCAGGACCTGGCCCGAGACATCTTCCACAGGCCGTGTCCAGAGCTTTGGGCCGAACGGGGAGGAGGCCGGAACCCTCGGCCTCCGGCTCCGCGGGCGGAAGGCCCGCGAGCTCGGAGAAGAGAGGAGCGAGCGGCGAGTGCTGTTCCAAGGGGAGGGGGCTCCGTCGCTGGCCGCAGCGCAAAAAAACAAAAAACAACTTTCCTTCGAGGGCCCCCCCTCGGGCGTGTGGCTGGCCCCACGGACCTCTCGCCCTTTTTCTCCCCCAGTGGCGCGCGGTCCTCCCATTTTTTCTTCAATCGGGCACGCCCCTCTACAGCTATGGTGCCCCCATCGTACTGAAGAACCACATCCCAGAACAAAAAAATCGAGCACCCGCAAAGTGTCGAAACAGTGTCGCAACAGTGTCGCAACAGTGTTTCCCAGGGCCCGACACGTGAAAATCTCGAGTTTGGGGGCGCGCTCGAAATTATTTCTGGCCATCAAGGCTAAAGTAGGTTGGAACATCATAACTCTACAAGAAGATTATTCAAACAATAATCAAAGAATAATCAGAGGACGCTGCTTTTAGTATGTCCGAACCATTTCTGATAGTTTGGCGTATGCTTTACTGGTCGTCAATAATCCGTCTGTAGGGGGGCACGCCCGACCTAATCGTGTTCCACCTCCTCGTCCCCCTCTCCTCGTGAGGTCTTCGACATGCCGCTGGAGGCCTCCTCCCTGTCCAGCGGCACCGGCCGGCTGTAAGGCCTTCATAATCCATATATATATATATATATATGTATTTACATATATATATATAGAGAGAGAGAGAGAGAGAGAGAGAGAGAGCTCTCCGGTGCCGCACCCCGAGAAGTGTCACAGACCCCCATCCTGAAGCTTGGAACGAATGGCAACTCAACGGAAAGGAGTGCGGGTCGTTTTCGACATGCAGCTCCCATGTTAGCGCCAGGCACATTCGTCGTCGCAACAGCTTCAAGGTTGGAGGGCCGGCAGTTCTCACTATGTAGATCTCGCCTCGGCGCCACGCACAATCGTCTGGAAAGTTTGCAACAGTTTCGAGGGTGAAGGGCGGTTCCCTTTTAAAATGTGGCTCTCGAGTTAGAGCCGCGCAGAGTCATCTAAAAACCGCGCATCGGCTTCCAGCATTGAGGGCGGGCCTCTTTTTTGCCGTGCTGCTCTCTACTGAGAGGTGCTGCTCTCTCCTGAGGGCCGCGTGCGTTCGTCTGCGAATCTACAACATGCTCAAACATCGAGGGCGGCTCCACCTCAAAATGTGGATCTCGCATCAGCTCCGCGCGCAAAATGAAGGGCCGGTCCCGTTCAAACTCTGTGGCCCTCGCCTTGGCACCCAGCGAACATTCAAAGATGGGCGGCGGGCCGTGTCGATGTCATGTTGCCCTCGTCTTCGCGCCACGTGCTCCTGTCTGAATAATTGCAGAACTGTCTCACAAATGAAAGAGGTTCCTTTTCGGAATCTTGCTACTGCTGTGATTTAGGATGGCCAGGACGCAACAATCTCGTTGTTTCGCGATGCTGACGCACGAGCTAGACTTGTCAAGACTCAACAGTGACGTTGATTCGCGGTGATGAAGAACAATGGTATCCTGGTACGATCTAGGACTGTCAGGACGCAATAGCCATGAGAATCGGCTTGGGGTTTTGTGATTCGCTGCGTTGAGGTCCCTAGAATCGTGCTTGGGCGCGGTACAGAATTATCGAACGGTTCTCCTCCGACAGGGAAGCGCCCGCAGTGAAAACAGACTTCTTGTGAGGACCTGCGAGGAGCAAACTTGGAGAGAGGCTTTCTTGCAACATCGTTGATGCGTCTTGGGTTGACACTGGTCCTCCTCCTCCTCTGCCACAGGGTCAGCAGGAAGGCCACGACGACGAAAAGACAATGACGAGGGATAACGGACGTCCAAGAGGCCCCAGGAGTATCCAAAGTAGACATTCCCAGAAGCAGAAGTCTTCGGAGAGCTACCAGAGGCCACAGAAGAGACAATCAACGTGGAACAACCTGGCTCCTCGAACCTCGATCTTCCCTCATCCTCCTAATCGTCCTCCACCTCCTCCTCCTCCTCCTCGTCCTCCTCGTCCTCCTCCTCCTCCTCCTCCTCCTTCTCCTCCTCCTCCTCCTCCTCCTCCTCCTCTCTCTGCCTCTCTACCCGCCCCAAAGCCCTGCCTCCGTCTCTTCTTCTCCACTCCTTCCCCCGCCTCGTCCTCTGATGTATCACTCCTCGCTCCCCCCCCCGACTTGCTGGCGAAACAACAGCATTGCAAGCCATCTGCTCCCTCCCGAACCTCCACCAACATCCTCCCCTACTCACTGTACCTGTACCTCTGTCCCCCCTCCGACCGCGTGACATTTCCTTGAATAAGTACGTCACCGTGTCCTCCCGCCTAACTCTCGCCATAAAGGATAGGTTCCTGAATCCAGGGTTTTCTCCAGGGAGCAGTTCATCATGTTGAGTTATTCGTCGACTCCGGGGCCTGGAGATGGCCCTGGGAGTTTGACTATGAAGAACAACCTGCATGACACGCTTCCCTCAGGACGCCCGTCCCTCGTAGTGACGCGTCGGATCGGACTGCATCGGGACGGAGTCGTAGCCGAATCGGATCGGCTGCGCCAGGATGTACAACAGCGGTACTCCAGATTTCGTAATCAAAGGGAGGGGGTCTGGACCCTCCAAGACAAGCCATTTCAGACCCCCCCCCGTGGGAGAACCCTCCAAAACATCGTCCCCAGACCTCCCCAGGCCCTCCAAGATAGCCTGGAAGAGACCCCCCCAAAATGAGACCCCCCTCCCATTATTACGAAATCTGGAATAAGCGGGCATCCGCCCGCATCGGTCGTCGCAGCATCGGAATCCACCCAGAACGAACCCAGCCGACGAAGTGTGGGTCGAATCGGATCGATCGGATCGAAATGGACCCTGGCAAGCCGCTCTGTGTGTTCATCCGTTCGAAGGATCGCAAAAAAACCAAGGATTGCAACAAAAACAAAGGATTGCAAAAAAAACAAAGGATTGCAGAAAAAAACCGAAGGATTGCAAAACAACCCTTGAACGAAGGATTGCAAAAAAAGCCCTTCTTTGCAATCCTTCGTCTCCCTTCTTCTTCTTCTTCTTCTCCTCCTCCGCCTCCTCCTCCGCCCCCCCTTCCTCTAGCCCCCATCCCCCATCGGAGCATCCCCTTCCTCCTACTCCTCCCCGTGGCGACGGAGGAAGTCGACCTGCTTCGCCACCGGATCGCTGGAGACCACCAGAAGTTTATAACAAAAGGCGCCAGGGGAACCGCAAAGGGCAAACGGGATGTGAAAACCTGGAAACTCGAACCCTCACGCCTCCACCTTCCTAACTTCTCTTCTTCCCCTCTTGCTGCTCCTCCTCCTCCTCCTCCTCCTCCTCCATCACAACTCCTTACACATAACTCCTCCTCCTCCACCGTCCTACCTCCTCTTCCTCCTCTCTTGCTGCTGCTCCTGCTCCTCCTCCTCCTCCATCACCACTCCCTACAAAGACCTCCTCCCCGTCGCAACCGCAGACGTGTCGTCTGGGCGGGCCGTGCGTCCCGCCTGGGGCGACCTCACCGTTCATGATCCTGAAATTTGGAACGTGCAGCGGCTACACGGACGGAAGGCGGGTCGCGTCTTGAATGTGGCCCTTTTCCACTGGTCCTCCTCCTCCTCCTCCTCCTCCTCCTCCTCCTCCTCGCCCTCCCCTGCGAGAAGAAGGGGGGGGGGGGGCGCCTGCTCCGTGGCGTCGAAGAAAACCTGCTTCGCCACCAATTCACTCTTCCCCCCTAGCTTCGGCCACTGCATCGTGGCCGCGGGCGCGTACGGCGGTCCTGCGCGCGGGGTGGGGGCCGGGGACAGACAGAGCCGGGACAGGGAAGAGCAGGCCAGTGACGGGACGGATGGGAGGACGAACGGGGATGGACGGGAGGAGGGTGTCCTTATCCCCCTCCTCCTCCTCCTCCTCCTCCTCCTCCTCCTCCGCCTCCTCATCCCTAGTCATTATCCTTGGAATTACCTCCCCACCCATCCCTCCTCCCTTCTCTGCCCTCCCTCTTTCGTCCTCATTCGCCCCCTCCTTCCATCCCCCACTTCCCTTTTCAACGCTCCTCCGCCTCCTCATCTAGGGCCCTGCATGGGAAAGCAGGAAGGCGAGGGAAGAGAAAGGAGGCAAGGAGGATCTAGCATGAAGGATGGGGAGTCCTTTGGGGGAGGGGGGGGGGCCCTTATTCGGGCCAGGCGAAAAGGGGGGATAGCAAACGGGGGGGCTGAGAATCAGATCACGTAGCTGGCGCCTCCCGGCGCCGGATGCGGCCATGCATCGAGGAATGAGCACCTCGGTGGGGCCGAAACCAGCCACATGCAGCAAATTTCGTAGCCCCTCCTTTCCCTATCCCCCCCTTTTGTCTGGCTCGACTTCTCTTGTTCATTGCTGTCGAAACCAGAGGCCCCTGGGGCCCACCGCGGGCCCCAGGGACCAGACAATTCTGCCCGCCGCTCAACCCGCTCGCGCCCCATCGCGAGCGGCGGGCACGACCCCCTCGTGCAGCTGGCAAGGGGCACCCTGGGTTACAGTAGGAGCTCGACCTTCCACAAACCTGGCGCCTCGCCTCGGAGGTAAACAATAGAAACCTCCCACAAGAAACCAAAGCCTGAGACCCCAGCCAAACCGTCGAAACCCAGGAATCATGGCACCTTGGAGGCAAGCAGGGTGCTTCTTGGCATGGGTCTCCAGTGCAGCACCGCGGCCCCCGAACGCACCAAACCAGCGAAACGCGAGCAGCGGCGTGCGCGGGCAGGGATGCAGACGCAGACGCAGACGCGCGAGTCCGCCAGCCGGCGGGCCTCCAGGCCCCTTAGGGGCGGCGCGGGCGGGCCGGAGCCCAGTCACAGGCATGTGAACTTCAAGAAGTCGCCTCCGAGGCCTGCCCAGAATTGGGAAGTTGTAGCACTCTGCAGCCATGTGCCGGGCGTGCTTGCAACGAAAGCCTTTCGGTAGAAATTCACCACCCCCGCGTTCCCACAGGAACGTCTTCCTCCTTTCACGGCCCCCGAAAGCCTCACGCAGAGAACGCCACGGTTCCCTGGCGCTCGCGCGGCCGCAAGCGGCCACGACGCCGACGCATTAACTAACCGGCAAACGAACAAACAAACGACCGACACACCAACAGACAAACCGACAAGCAGCCACCACCGGCCACAAGAGCCACGACATGAACAAACATTCCCCCGAACCCGCCAGTCCAATTTGGGAGTGCCGCAGCCGTAAGCAGAAAGTGCCAAGAGGCCAATGAAGACTTGAGCACCGCATGCTCCTCTCAAATTCTCCAAGTCAATTTTTTGGGGCGACGGAAACTCTCGTCGCCACGCAGCTGCTCGCGACCCAGCACTAGCGGCGGGCACGAACCCATCGTGCAGCCAGCAGGAGGCACTGTCCGCCCAACCGCCCCTAAAAGCAGGGAGGAGTCGTGCACTCGCCAGCGTGCGACGAATCTGAACGGTCGACTGAGAACTCCGCCGCTGCGCTAGCCCCGCGGGCCTTCGCCGACGCATGTGCCGATGCCTTGGGACCACGCCGCCGCCCAGAATAAATCGGGAGCGGCCAAGAGGGGGGTGTCCAAGAAGGGGGTGCAAATCATGACCGGCGGCATGTGCGCGGCCCAGCGGGGGGGCCAGGGACGTAATGAAACAAGAAGAGGCGCCACGAAATCTGGGGAAATATCATGGCCACCGCCATGATATCCACTCCCCTCTAGTCATCACCCCCCTCTTTTCCGCCCCCGAATAAAATGGCGCCGTGGGCCCGCCTGATTGCAGACAGTCTGTGACCGAGCCCCCCCGGACGGTACGGGCCCCCCCGTGCCAGCGCGTCGTCTAATCCGCGCGCCAGGGCCGCCAGGTTTCGGCGCGGCCGGACCTGCGCGAAATGTGCTCCCTGGAGCGACTGCAGCTGTTTGGCCGGCGCGGCGCGCAGCAATGCCGCGCGCGCCGCAGAGCGACTTGCCCCGTGAGCTGCAGGTGCTCGCGCGAATGACCCCCGCTGGTTTCGAATACCATCCCAGCGCGTGTGCGCGTGAGAAGAATCGACGCTGACGCCCGCCGCCGACGTGACCCTGCACGAAGCCACCGGGGAACACACGTGCAGAACTTCCCCGCGCCTCGACAGGATAGCTGGGCGACCGCCCAGGTCTCCCCGATGTCCGCAAACCCAAATGCCGAACACCACGTTGCTCGTTCCCTGGTGTCTGCGGCTGAATCTCGCGCGGCTGGAGCGCCCGCGCTGCCCTCTCCGTGCCTCGCACGGCCCGCTCCGCGTCATCCAGCGGCCCAAGAGGGCACCTGAGCCAGAGTAACACAGAGTTTAGGTGAGACAGATATCTCCTCAAGTGCCTGCACTCCAGAATAAGCCGACCTGGGCATCCAGCGCTGCCGTCCTCAAATTCCCCTGCCGCCCACCATCGAAGACTTAAAGGCGACCAAAAAGAAGGCTCGGCACCAAGAAGGGGTCTCATGGAAGTCTCAAGTGTCTAGGACCCGTTTCCCTCAGGACCCTGTGCCTCATGGCGAGAGAAAGGAGGGGAGGGGTGGAGAGAGGACAGAGGTAGGGAAGGAGGTGGAGGTGAGGGTGAGGAATGGGGCAGATGGCTTGAGATGTTGGACTTTTTGTAGGGAGTCCGAGGAGGGGTGACGAGTGATACATCAGAGGAAGAGGCGGGATAGGAGAGGGGAGGTGGAGAAGGCGGAGCGATGGGAAAGCTGGAGGGGTGGAGGGAGGAGGAGGAGGAGGACTTGTGCCAAGCCGAGACGCATCGTCGGCGTTGCAATAAACCCTCCAAGCTTCCACTTCACAAGTCCGTAAACGAATTCAATTTCATTGCAAGAAAATGCAGATTGAAAGAAAAACGTCAGACAAATCAAAGAACGCAGGATCTAACATAACCCCCCTAGACTCCACAAAGAGAAGATACCTCGCCAAAATAAGAACAAATGAGCACCGCAACAGTTTTCTGTAAATGTGACACGTCTGGGCACACTTGAATGCACGAAATTGTTGGAGAACTCTGGACCCTGGCATAACACCATTCCCGGGACACTACTGCCACGAAACAAAATGACTGCTGTGTACTGACGGCTCTGAATCGTGCCACAAAACCACCCCTGGGGCTTCAACACATAGCATACACGTAGGCGTAACGTCGGGAAAATCCTAGAACGTGCCCGGCCACCCTTTCTGATCCTGGGACCTTCCACTCTACGAATCCTGAACGCCGCTGTTACTCTTAAGCTGGCCTCCATCCGCGAAACTGCTGCGGACTTTTACAAGGTCAGACCTGTCGCTATGGCAGGTCAGGTCGGACCTGTCCCCCTACAGGGGGATTTTGGCTGAAACATCAAAAATACTACAAAAGAATCCCCAAATCCTCAAACAAATTTCAAAAAATAGTCCCCATACTACGTTTTGACTATTTACGAACGTAGAGGGACAGGCCCGACTTAACGCCATGGCTAGAGAAAGATTTTGAACACGGTCCGCCTTCCATCCCGGCAGCTGCCACAACGTTCGATAACGAAAGTGCGCGGAACTAAAGCGAACGCTCCATCTTGAAGACTGCCCGCCCTCCATCGTTGACACTGCTGGACATCCTAAGCTTCATGAACAGAAGCTGTGAAGACATCTGCGGCGAAACGCCGTGCCCGCCCTACGGACACGCTTGGGGTGCGAAGAGGGAGGAGGTGGGTAATCAAATGGAGGCGGCTGCAGGAGCCAGAGTCCAGTGGGCTCGGTAGGCCTGGAAGCAGTCCGAGAAGGAGGGAAGGGGAGCGAGCAGGGAGCGAGGGAGGGGGTATATATGATGTGGCGGAGATGGTGGACAAAACGGGTGGATATACAATATGGGCCCGATCACACGAAACCTTCCACAAGAAACCCGACCCTGAAAGACCCTGGAACCCCAGGACGTCCATCGATTTTCGGCGTGGGAGCGCCGCGCTCTCCGTCGCAAGACCATCGGAAGCCAAGAAACCCAGGGCACCCTGGAGGCGAGCAGGGCGTCTCCTGGCATGGGCCTCCACGGCAACGGGGGAGGCTGATAGGGGGCACGAAGCGAAGGCCCCGCCGCAGGCTCGCTGGCTCGCGGCCAGGGGGCGACGCGGGGCGCTGGGGCTGCCGCAGGCGCGCGGGGCGGCCGCGCCCGGGCGATGGGGCCCCCTCGGAGGCTGGCGCGGTCCGCCCGGAGCCCTGCTCGGAGGCTCGCTCCCAGCCCTCGCGCACGTGGGGGGCCGCCCACGTGCGGCCCGAGTGCGGCAGCTTCGCGTCGTGACGACCCCCGGCGTTGGTGTCTGACACCGCGTGGAGCGTTGAAGCTTGAGCGATCGGCGGCTCTTCTGTGCGTTTTGACCTTGGGCGATCGGCGTTTCGACATTGGGCGAAAGGGGGGGGGGGGATCTGGCTCCAGACCTCTGCTTGCTTCGCGCCAGGAGGCCCCCGAGAGACCTACCAAGAGTCCCAAGGGGTCGGCGGTGCGGCGTAAGCCAAAGAATCATCAGACCATGGGGGAGGGCAAAGAGCTCTGGGGACTCCTGACCAAAAGACCAGACTCACAACGTCATCTGGGATGACGGGCGGCCCTCGGAACTCTCGACCTCAGCGCCGAGACCAGTCTCCACTTCGGGTGTGTGTTCTGGCCCAGTTGAGGAGGAAGAGGAGGAGGAGGAGAAGGAGGAAGAGGAAGAGGGAGGAGGGAGGAGGGAGGAGGGAGGAGGAGGGAGGAGGGAGGAATGAAGGAATATGCCTGTTGCTTCTGGATGGTCAAAACATGCTGTATCGGTAATGCTCTTCTAAACTGTTGTTCGTGGAGGGGGGTACGGAGTGTTGGCAAGAACGAGGGTCGTCCGAACCAATGGTCGACAACAACAGCAAGGGATTGCGCATTCGTTGCATCCTCGCTTCTGCAAAACCATCCAGGTGACTTTCCCTGGCAGCGGCTCGGCGCACCTCCGGGAGTCGCGATCGGCTCCCACTGGCCCACGGAGCGAAAACGGCACGAGAACGGAGTCAAAACGAACAAAATGCCTACTCCAGATTTCGTAATAAAAGGGAGGGGGTCTCATTTCGGGGGGGTCTCTTTCAGGCTATCTTGGAGGGCCTGGGGGGGTCTGGGGACGATGTTTTGGAGGGTTCTCCCACGGGGGAGGTCTGAAATGGCTTGTCTTGGATGGTCCAGGCCCCCTCCCTTTAATTACGAAATCTGGAGTACGAGCTTGCGTCAGCAGCAGCGCGTTGGGCGGCCCCCGGCCCGAGTCCTCCCCCCCCCCCGCGCGCCGACGTCGCCGTTGCGTCGCCGTTGCGTCGCCGGCGCACCGCTGGCGCACCGCTGGCGCATCGGTGATGCACCGGCGAGACTGAAAGGGCCCTGGGACACACAAATAAATGCATACAAATAAAAAGATTTCCAATATCTTCCAATATTTCCTGGGTGTCTGTTTTCCCCCCCACTGCTCATATTTTCCAGTATTTTCGGTGGAATCGACGATTCCTTGTGTCCGGGTGACTTTTTCCCTCTCCTGAGAGACGGCGCGACCCTCTCGGGTCGGACGAGAGGGGTGGTCCGGGAAAGGTGCAGGTACGGAAACCGGCTTCGCCACTCCGGTGGCAACTCGTGGGAGCATCCCATGCCGTCTGGCTCGCTCCCGCAAATCGACGCCGACCGACGCTCGTCGATGCCAAGTCAACGCTGATCGAGGCTAGCTCGGCGCTCTCTCCTCGATCGCGGCACGCTGGCCTGCGCGCTCGCTAGTGCGCCCCGAAGACGGGAGTTCCGAGGAGCGTGGACGCCCGAGAGTTATCCAGGCTAACTGCAGGGCAGGTTTTAATACATAGGATCTAAAAATCTAGGATTCTTAGTACATGATTAATATATGAATAGATTTGCGCATGAATTCATCCTTGCTTTTAATACTAAGTCCCTGCATCTTTAATACATGATACGCACGCGGAGCATGTATTAAAGACGGCACTGTGCAGTCCAGGGTGATTCTGGCTTGTGCCCCCGAGGCGCGCATCTGCAGCTGTCCCTGGCCGCCCCCAACCCTGATGACTCGGGGCTCTGAAGGACCTGCTTGCAAGTGCACGTGCGGCGTCTGCGTGGGCTCATGGTATCCGTGACCTCTCGGCTCGGGAGTCCTCTCCCTGGAGCACGGCAGAGGGGGGCGCTCGAGACTTGCCCGCGTCCCCCCCCCGTACACGGGCCGAGGGGAGAGGCAAGACGCCGAACGGGGGGGGGGGGGGGCACTGGGACAAACGAGGCGCGCCTGCGCCTTACCCTCAAGATGCGGCGCCCGCCGCCGCCCCGACCGTCGCGCGGCCGCGGGGGGGGGGGGGGGCGCATCCGCCCCGCTGAGTGGAGCAGCCCGGCGTCCCCGCCGCCAGTGGCGCCTGTGTGCGTCTGGGCGCCCCTCCTCGCGGCCACCCGAGGCCGCCTCGTGGGCGCTTCTGACCCCCGCCCGCCGCTAGATGGCGCCCTCCGAGCCCTACGGTCGAGGCGTTGACCTAAGGAACCCTAAAGAGGGAACGAGGCCCCTATTTTCCACAAGTTGAACTTCGATCTCGCACCGAAAACCTGAGGAAAAAATCCAAGGCAAGCTGCGAAACAATGAAGGAACACGGAGCCCCTCCCCAACGAAAAGGGTTCCTTCTTCAGGGCCCCGACTGTACACCACCAACGGTGTGTTCTCCTGTATCGTTGGGAGGCGGGGGTCGGGCTCGGACTTCGCCGCGCGCTCGACGGCCTCTGGGCCCTACCCCGGGCGAGGGCAGGGTTCGGCCTCCGCCGTCGGGCCGTCCCGCGTCGCCTCCTGCCGAGCAAGGCTCCCAGGACTTGCCGCCGAGAACGCCTCTCGAGCGGGTGGTATTGGGGGGTGGCCTGCACGGGGGTGGAGAAGAGGGCCCAAAAGGGGCCCTTTGAAACAGAGCCCCGTTAGGAGCCACCAAGGGCGAAAAAGGGGCCCTGAAGGGCTTTGCTTCACCCCCCATTCAGGTCACCCCCCGTCACCACCTGCCCGAGCCGCCCTCCCCCCACCCCCAGTGTTAGGACGGGCATGTCCTCCTACAGGCGGAGTTTGGGAGAGAACAAAAGAGTAACCGTTCCAAGGCTTGTCAGACGGAATCCAAAAATCGTCCCGAGAGTAGGTTGTGAACTCTGCTTAGCAGATTCCTCCTGTAGAGGGGCGTGCCCGACTGGACCCCCCGTGCGAAGCAGCTCCAGTCGGGACGACCGACATGGGTACGGAAAGAATGGGTACAGTGCCCAACAGCAGTCCCTGTTCATTCTGAACAGGACTCGCTGTCCGCGCCGCCGCGGCCCGTGTCCACTTGAGACAGGAGGCCACCTGCCCAACAGCGGGCGCTGTTGGTTTGGGACAACATTTGAGCAGGGACCGACCGTCCCGGCATTCCTATAGTCCTACCACGGAATGTTCTTAGAACCCAAGAATGTTCTAAGAGCAAAAGCAGTCATCTTAGAACATAGACCTGATGTGTTCAACCAAGAGAGACTCCGCCAGAACTGTTCTAAAAACACTTCGTGGGAACCACAAAACATTGTATGGTGGGGCTAGAAGCGAGCCGGGACGCTTCGACACTGCTCGAACCCATTTGTTGTCCGTACCCGTTCCGGTCACCGCGGCCCGTGTCCGTTTGAGACAGGAGGCCACCTGCCCAACAGCGGCCGCTGTTGGTTTGGGACAACATTTTTACCAGCCTGGAACATATCGCTATCGTTTTCTGGGCATCTCCGCATCACGATGCAAATCTTAGGGATTCCCTTATTTCTTGAGGGCGCATCCCTACGATTGTCATCGCCTGTTGGCGTGTCAATCTTAAGGATCGGGATAAGTTCGAGGCTGGTAAACATCTGTTGTTGGGCATTGTACCCTCGGGAGCGGCCAAGAGGGGCGTGCCCAAGAGGGGGGGGTGCAAATCATGACCGGCGGCATGTGCGCGGCCCAGCGGGGGGGCCTGGGACGTAATGAAACAAGAAGAGGCCCCATGAGATCTGAGGAAAAATCATGGCCCGCGCCATGAAATCCACCCCCCCTAGTCATCACCCCCCTCTTTTCCGCTCCCGATACCCACTTGTTGTCCGCACCCGTGTCGGGCGCCCAAAAGCCAGGGCGGCCCCGTCCTGCGCCCGCGCCCTGCCCCGGCTGGGACGGCGCCGCCCGCCGAGCCTGCCGCGCGCTTGCGCGGGGGTGCGCGGCTCGCCGGCGACCGCGCGCGGGGAGGCTGCAAAAAACTGTGGCGCTCGAGGCCCCCAGGATGTTTTAGTTAGGAGGCAACTGCTGGGAGGCTCTCGTCGGAAAGAATAAGGATGGTGAAGCCCCACATTTGGGAGCTGCTGAGTTCGAGGTCCCCAAGATGTTTTAGTTAGGAGGCAACTGCTGGGACCCTTTCGCCGGAAAGAATAAGGATGATGAAGCCCCACATGTGGGAGCTGCTCAGTTCGAGGTCCCCAAGACGTTTTAGTTAGGAGGCAACTGCTGGGAGGCTTTCGCCGGAAAGGTTGAAAGATGATGAAGCCCCAATTTGGGAGCTGCGACGCCGGAAAAGGCCTCGGCTCAAGCGGGATTAAACTGGATCATGCGGGACTAAGCTGGATTGAACGGGATTAATCGGGATTAAGCGGGATGAAGCGGGAGTGAGCCGGATTCAGCGGGATTTCGGACCACGGCAAGACCAGCATTTGACCTCCCAGGAGGTGCATCCGAAGAGTACGCATCGGTCGGAAGAAGCACAGCAGGGTGCCCGACCACAAGAGGCCTTCCACGAGAAGCCCAACCGTGAGACCCCAGGACGTCCATCCCTTTTTGGTGTGGAAGCGTCACGCCTCCCATTGCAAAGCCATCGGAATCCAAGAAACCCAGGGAACCCTGGCGGCAAGCAGGGTGTTTCTTGGCATGGGCCTCCACTGTAGAAGCATGAAGAAGGAAGGCGTGGAAAATATCTTGGGTTCCCGTAAGGAGAAGGTGAAGCCACTCGATCATCGAAATAGGAACTAAAGTAGGTCGGAATCTGGAATTCCAAAAATACCTACTTTCAACGACCAATGGGTACAGTCAACCCGTATCATAAGGATGCGCGGTAAGGATACAAGAGGGCCTTGGAGGCCCACGCGAACGTTTTTTCGAACGAGGTCGGCCAGCGAGAGTCGCTAAGGATGGGGCCGAAGGAGCAAGGATGCAAAGTTACCCTTGGGAAGGTTGCCCTTACTATGCGGGCTGACCATAGGTAGGGTCGGAAAGTGGCGCCGCATCGCCGATGCATCACCGATGCATATGCGATGCGTCCGCGACGTCGGCGACCGTATCGGTGCCGTTGGGGCGGCGAAAATCAGGCTCCACATCATGCATTGGCGATGGAGCGCGATCCCCCGAACCCGCACCTACTCTCACCCCATCTGTGAGGCCTGGAGCCTAGAGGAAGGGCTGGCCCACAAAGGACTCTGCCGGGCTGCCCTGCACGAGGACGACACAAGGGCTCCCAACATGGCGCTTCGCGCTGCGCGAAGTGCGAATAACTTCGCGCTCTCGCGCCGCCTCCCAGGGGAGAAGAGGAGGACGAGGAGGAACCGGAGCCGAACCGCGAAGCGCGAAGCGCGCGTAACTTCGCGCCCTCGAGGGCGCCCTTGACGACAGCGGCGGCGGCGAGACTGGAAAGGAAGTGCTGGCCCCCGCAGCTGTTCCCGGCTGCCCCGCACGAGGACGACAGCGGTGGCGACGGCGACGAGCGTATTTGACTTGGTAGTCCCCAAACGTGGTGGTGACAATACCTGGTGGTGAGTCTCGGGCGATTTGGTGTCACCACCCGGTTTGGGGACTCGTGCGGTTTTCCGAGGATGTCCCGGACACTGGTGGGTCCAGGAGTCACAAAACCCGGTGGTGACCCCGCGTCCCCAAACCCAGCGGTGACCTTTTTGGGGATTCCAGGTCGCCACCTGGTATCTCACCACCCGTTTTGGGGGTTCCCAGACAGTGGCCGTCCCTGCCTGGGTGCCCAGGGCACCTGCGCCGCCACCGCCCTGAGTTTCTCGCCAGGGCACGCCCTGGAGGAGGCCCAGGACACGGCCCTGGTCGTGATTGTCGCCGTCCTCGTCGTGATCCTCGTCCTCGTCCTCGGCGTCGTCCTCGTCGTCGTCCTCGGCGTCGTCCTCGTCGTCCTCGCCGTCGTCCTCACCCTCGTCCTCGTCCTCGTCGTCGCCGTCATCGACGACGGCGTCGTCGTCGTCGTCGCCAGTGGTGTGAGGAACGGCGACAGCGACGGCGACGACGACGGCGGCGACGACGACGGCGACGGCGACGGCGACGACGACGGCGAGCACGGCCGCCTGCCACGCTCGGCGATTCGGCCTCCAGCGCTTGCCGGCGAGCGCGGCCGCTCGCACGGCAGGCCGAGGGGCTCTCGAGGACCCCGCGGGCGACCTCTGCGATAGGCGCCAGGACGGAGCGCCCCGGGCGCCGTGCCGCAGCCTCCCCCTCACGAGCGAGATCGGGCGGGGACGGCGGCGTGTCCCTGGCCACAGCCAACGTCTCGAGCCCAGCCAGGACTGTGCTTTGTTTCTGCAGGTTCTGGCGCCGGGCGCGTTCGGCTTGTTCCCGGGCTCCGGGGCAAAGTAGGGGTAACGAGGGAGCACGCTCCGCTCACGCTGGGCCTTGGCGGAGAGTGGGACGACACCACGCCCACTCCAGCACTCGGGCACGGGCCAGTCGCAGCAAGATTGGGATAACAAGATTTAAGTCGGGCTTTTCCCCCTGCAGGCGATTTTGGACGAAGTATTAGAAATGGTCAGAAAATAGCCTAATACATTTAACATGGTCAAGACATCGTCCCCAGACTGTGTTTTAAACTATTTTGGAATATTCCTTCATGTAGAGGGACAGGCCCGACTTAAAACAAGATCGACTGCACACCGTGATCTTCCTCGCCACGTCGCTGCACTCGGGCACGGGCCCGGGCACGGGCCAGTCGCAGCAAGAGGAGGAGAAGGAGGAGGAGGATAAGGAGGAGGAGGGGGAAGGAGAGAGGAAGGAGGAGGAAGAGGAGGTGGAGGAGGAGGACGAGGAGGAGGAACACCGTGATCTTCCTCGCCACGTCGCTGCTCCTTCAGGGGAGGGGCTGGCGCTCGGAGCCCGGAGCGCTGCTCCTCCAGCGGGGGTGGGGCGCTCGGAGCCCCCAGCTTTCGCTCCCTGCGGCCGCCCGGCGGCTCGGCGGCGGCGGCGGGGGGGCCCCCATGGATGCCACGACACTGGACACCCTAACAGTCCTATCATCGAATTTGCAAGGGCTCCCAGCTTCGCGCTTTGCGCTGCGCGAAGTGCGAATAACTTCGCGCTCTCGCGCCGCCTCCCAGGGGAGAAGAGGAGGAAGAGGAGGAATCGGAGCCGAACCGCGGAGCGCGAATAACTTCGCGCCCTCGAGGGCGCCCTTGAATTTGATGGTCCTAACAATCCATTGATCGTCCTCCACAAGGGTACCCACTGACACGACGCGACCGGAGGCCGTCGCGCCGGCCGCGCACAGCTCGAGTCCACCAGGGGGCGCCCGGAGCCCACGCGGGAGGGAGCAGGAGACCACCGTGCACCAGGGCTGAACCCAAATGGTGCTTTTCGTGTTCGTTTTGTGGTCGTTTCCCTTCGTTTTGTCTTCAATCCACCTCTGACGCAAAACGAAGTCGAATCGAAAACGGCCCACGGAATCGCCAAAACACCGTTTGGGTCCAGCCCTGCCGTGCACGCCTGGCCAGGGCCTGGGCGTGGTGGTGCCCCGATGCTTCCCGTGGGCCCAGAGACCGCGAGGGCACCTCGAGCAGAGCGAGCCGCCGAGCCTCTGCGAGCCCCGCGCGTGCCGCAGCACGAATCATACCCCGAGGCCTCAAGCAGGACACCCCTGAGAGGGGCACGCAGACTGTCCTGGGAAGCGAAGCGCGATCCATCCTCGCCCGAGGGTGAGCTGTACCGGAAAGCCACGACGTGCAGCCGGCTCTGCTCTGGCTCCGCGCCTCCGAGGCGCGTTAACCTCGGGCCCCCGGGCCCATCCAACGACGGCCACGCGACACGAAGCGCCGGTCCGACTGTCCTGGAGGCCCGGGACCTTACTCACAAGGGCACCCATCGGCCAGAGGAGTAGGTAGACACATGAAGTAGGAAGGCGTGGAGAGTAGAGTAGAATCTGGGAACCCAGAAACGCTTGCCTTCAACGACCCATAGGTATATATATAAGGGGAGGGCTGTCTGGATGTATCTGGGGATTCGAAGGGATTCCAGGAACTGGGGGATGGCCACGCATTGCTGAGTGTCCTCCTCCTCCTCCTCCTCCTCCTCCTCCTCCTCCGCCTCCTCCTCCTCCGCCTCCGCCTTCCGCCGCCCTCCTCCTCCTCCTCCTCCTCCTCCTCCTCCTCCTCCTCCGCCTCCGCCTTCCGCCTCCCGCCGCCCTGACCTTACATGCCCTACCGGCATCGCCTCAAGGCCAGGCTCCGCACGCTGGTGGGCTCGCCATCGCTGTCCTGCCCCTCGTCCTCCTGGCCAACCCCGACCCCATCATGCACATGACAGCACCGGCGCGCGACGAGTCGCAGCTCGGCAGGGACGACAAGGTGCAGCGCCGATCGGGCGCTGGCCCCGCGCCTTCGGGAGCTGCTGGCCGTCGTCCTGGGCCTGGGGCCGCTCCTGCTGCTGTGCGCGCCAGGCGCCGCTGCGGGGGCGCTGCTCCTTCTGCTGCTGCTGCTGCTGCTGGGCGTGCTCCGCCTGCGCTGGCCGATGGCGGCGACAACGGCGTCGCCCATCGCGTTCGAAGCGTGTTGGGGCGTGCCCTGGGGCTCTCGTGGCGCCGGACGTTGGCTCGAAGAATCTGGCGAGGATCGGCCCCGGGATGGGTCCATGGGGCACGCTCTGAGCGGCCTCTGCTCGAGAGCAGGGCAGGGGGAGCTGCCTTCTATGAAAGGATCGGCCCCGTCTTCTGGGCTTTTGCAGAGGTGTCGAAAAGGTTCTCTAGAAGGCAGGCAGACTTCTGAGAAGAGGAATGCCCTCTGAGAAGGCAGCCCCTCTTGCCCCGAGAATCGAGTAGGGCACAGCCTCGTAATGGTTTGTGCTTGCACTCGTATTTGTCACTGCGCTGACCTTGCAGATGGGCTGCAGCGGATGTTGTGCGTGGATTTCTGTCTATGCAAGACCCCGAAACGGCGAGAGAGAAAAACAACGTTCCTGGCCGAGGAGAAATGCACACGAGAATCATCTCAAACTCTGGAACGACATTCTAGCAAAACACTCCGGGCTCATCCTATTGTTTTCCGAACGATATCCGCTCTGCGATATTTAGGGGGCAAACAGACCTACCTCGCTTTTGACCACCCTCGCTTCCAAGAGATACCAAGCGATGCCAAACCACGGCATGTACTGGTCAGGCCGCTTGACGAGGAGGCGCGTGGTATGACTTGGTTTTGCCTGGAAGCGAAAGCGGGGTAGGTAATTCACGCTCTGAATATTGGCGCAATGAATATGTGTGACTTTCTGCGCATTCGCAATAGCAACAGACAGCATATTCGTGCGGGCGAAACCTGCATGGGCGGACCCTCCAGGGCAGGGTCGGGCGGGCGGGCCGAGCGGGCCCGAACCAGGCGGGACACTGGAGCGAGCTCCGGAAATTGCGGATCCCCAGGCGAGAGCACGACTCCTGACCAACTCGTGAAGGGCTCTCGCCGACGCCAGCTGGTTTCGCCGCCGACGGCAGCTGGCTCCGCCGACGGAGCCAGCTTCGCCGACGGAGCTGGTTTCGCCAGGCGGCGAGACCAGCCCGGCGAAACCAGCCGGGCGAAACCAGCCTTACGTCGGGCCTGTCCCCCCTTACGACTAAAGAACAACTGGTCAGAAAATACACTAAAATATTCAAAACTTATATAAAAAAAACGTCCCCAGACTATGTTCTGCCTATTTTCGAATATTCCCCCTGTAGAGGGACAGGCCCGACATAAAACCAGCCAGGCGAAACCAGCCGTCGACGAAACCAGCGGTCGCTGTCCTCCTGCGAGAGCGCGCGCGGTTCCTCGAAGTCGACGGCGCGTCGTCTCAACAGATTGCAGGTCCCGGGCGAGAGCGCGATTCCTGGGTAAATCCCACCAGCCCTTCAGGGCGTGAGAGATTCAGGGGATGTCTTCGTCCTTCTTCCCACCTCCCCTTCGAAAAAAGATGTCCTGCTTCCCCTCCCCCCTCCCCCTTTGTCTGGAAGAAAGGGTCACGGGTAGGGGTTTCTCAGGGCCTCGACGAGAAGGCCAACATCATGGAACTTTACGACAGCAAAAATACAAATTAGTCCCCCGGATGGGAACACATCTACTACGACCCTTCCTTTGATTGATCTTCTCCAAAATGGCCCCCAAATGACCCCCGAGGCTCCCAAGGGTTCCCCAAAGCGGCCCCAAGAAGTGCCCAGGAGGCCCCAAGAGGCCCCCGAGGAACCCCCAAGATGCCCCCAAGAGGTTCCCACGAGACCCCTCAGAGACCTCCCAGAAGCCCCCCAGACGCACCCAAGACGTCCCAAGAGGCCTCGACGAAAAGGCAACTTGCTGACTTGGGTACAGTTTTTGCTACAAATTGGCCTCCTGGGGAAGAGGGCTTAATCTACTACGACCCTTCCTTTGGTCGAATGCCTCTAATACGGCCCCAAAATGGACCCCGAAGCTCCCGCAAGTGCCCCGGGAGGGCCCCGAAAGGCGCCCAACGAGCCCCAAGATGCTCCCATGATGCCCCAAGCTGGCCCGAACAAGCTGGAAACAGAACAAGGTCGGGTCTGCCCCATAGTTTGCTGCAGGGGAGGGACAGGTCCCTGCGGGGCTCGGGCCCTGCGCGGCCTCGCGGACCAGGTGGCCCTCAGGCGAATTTTCCTGGGAGCCCGCCCGGGAGGTCGGCAATTGTAAAGGGAAATTAAGACACACAAATAAATACACACAAATAAACCTATTCCCCATATTTTCATGTATTTTCTGGGTTTTTGTCTTCCCCCCCACTTCCCATATTTTCCCATATTTTCCTGGGGATCGACGATTAATTGTGTCTGTGTGTTTTTTCCCCTCCTGAAATTGCTGGGGGGCCGCCGAGGGGTTGCCTGCCGGCGCGCCGCGACGGCCGGGCCGGGCTCTTGCGGTGGCCTCCTGCACGCTTCCGGGGCGCCCCAAGGGCCGCGCGGTCGAGGCGCGGGGCCCCCGTGCTGGGGGCTCTCTCGGAAGTCACCCGCGGGTCTTTCGGGGGTCTCTGGCGCGCTGGTCGGGCGCGCTCTGGGGCCCTGCGGGGGCTGTCCGGGGCATCCAGATTTCAAGAAACTCCAGAGAGGTACCCCTGATGGAGCTCGTAGCATGGCCCAACGGAACGTTGCACGGGGCCTCTTGGGTGCGTTGCCTTCCCCTCCTCCCCCTTTTTTTCTCGTGCTCCCTGGGTTCTAGTTCGACAGTGGCGGGACCAGACTTGCATCGATACAGCTGCGTTCGGGTCCCTTTTTCGATTACTGTTCCAGCATAGCTTCGCCTGCCTAGCAGGCAGTTCATATTTTGACTAACCCGCCGGTCCTCTTTGTGGGGCCATCTGGCTGCGGGGATTAAGCTCGCTGCACCCAGCTCCAATTGCAATGTCAAGTCTCCCATGTTGTAGTCTTACCTTCAACTTCTGACGATTAATTTGTCAAGTCCAGGCGAGGAGGAGGAGGAGGAGGAGGAGGAGGAGGGAGGAGAAAGGAGGGAGGAGGAGGAGGAGGAGGAAGGAGAAAGGACCGAGGAGGAGGAGGAGGAGGAGGAGGAGGAGGACGAGGACGAGGACGAGGAGGAGGAGGAGGAGGAGGAGGAGGAGGGGGAGGAGGAGGAGGAGGAGGAGGAGGAGGAGGAGGAGGAGGAGGATAAGGAGGAGAGCGAGGAGAAGGAGGAGGAGGAGGAGGAGGAGCCCCAACCAACCGACACCCACCACGCCCAGATCGCGTGGTCTAAATTCTGGCGGGGGCGTGGGGCACACTGGAAAGCGCTACCTCGCGCTCCCGAAGCTACGATCCCTAGAAAAGTACCCCACGCCTGCGTCACCCGCACCACGATCCCTAGCTCATTCGCAATACTCGGGTCACCGAAGCCACGGGCCCTCATAAATTACACGCTTCTCGAATTCCCGAAGCCACGAGCCCCCGCAAAGTATGAACTGGTCGCGTGACTGGGGCCACGATCCTTTTGTGAATTGCGCTATACTTCTTCGCGTCCCCGAGACCACGATATTTGGCAAAGGACCGCATCGTCGCACCCCCGAGGCGGCGAACTCCTTTTTTTTTATTTATATATATATATATGTATTACTCTATATTCGCGCCACCGAAGCCACGTTTGTCTTGTGTTTGTAATGCATACTATATTCGCTTCCCCGAAACCACGGTCCTCTTGTAACTTACGCCGTGCTCGCGTCTCTGAGGCCACAATCGCTCGTAAAGTACACCGTGCTCGTGCCCTTGAGGCCACGATCTTCTGCAAGTCACGAAACGTATCCAGTCCCCGAGGCCACGGTCCATAGTAAATGTACAATGTTCGCGCCGAGGCCACGATATCCACCAAGTGCGCCGTACGCGCGCCCATGAAGCCACGATCCCTGGTAAACGATTCAATGCTCCCGTCCCCGAGGCTACGATCAATAACAGAGAACCGCAATGTACTCGAGTCCCCGACGCCACGCTCCCTTCCAACTGCGCCGCGCTCGCGTCTCCGAGGCCCCAGCCCCTTGCACGTAGCTCAATCACTGCGTCCCCGGAGCCACGATCGCGAGTACATTCCGCCATGCTCGCGTCCCCGAGGCCACGATGCCGTTCAAATGGCGACGTGTCCGTGTCACTGAAAACACGATCCTTCACAACTTACGCTGCGTTCGCCTGCGCTCGGCCACGATATCCTGTAATCTAATACATAGTCGCGCCCCGGGGGCCGCGATCCTTTGCACATTAGATTTGGTGCGAGGCCTCGAAGCCACGATGTTCTAAATTGCGCTGTATTCGCTTCCCTGAGGTCGCGATTTTTGTAACTTGCACCATGTTCCCCTCCCCGAAACACGATCGCTCGTACATTGCGCCGTGTTCGCGTCCCTGAAGCCACGATCCTTCCTGCAAATTCAGCAACATGTACGGTCCCGAGGCCACGATCCATAGTCCATTATGCAACGTTGCCGCCGAAACCACAATATCCAGCAAATTGCGCCGAACTCGCGCCCCCGAAGTACCGATTCCGAATACATCCCTCTAAGTTCGCATTCCCGAAGTCACGGCCCTATGTTTTAGTTTCAAAGAACAACAAAAAACAAGCCGCGCGATTGTTGCCTAACAAGCCTCAAGCAGCGCAGGCATGTTTAAGGGGGCCTCCGATACACAGAGCGAGGGGAAGTTCAACAAAAACAACACAGGAGCACATCAATATCATCTGAATCGTAAAACGTTTTCAGGATTGTACAGTCGTCCTCGGTTTCGATGCTGATTCACGACGGCGCCCAGGCAACCCGACACAGCCCCTGCAGAGTCCATTATTGAGCAGGGACCGACCGTCCCGGCATTCCTATAATCCTACCACGAAATGTTCTTAGAACCTAAACATGTTCTGAAAACAAAAACCCGATGTGTTAAAACGAGACGGTCCCAGCCAGAAATGTTCTAAGAACATTCCGTGGAAGCCACAAACGTTTCTTAGAACATTGTTTGGTAGGGCTATCGGCGAGCCAGGACGCTTCGCCACTGCTTGACATTATGATCGAGATGAACCGGCGGTCGGGGGCGAAGCTCTCCTGGATCTTTGGGGCGCGCATGACATGTGACTAAAGCCACTCACTCGCCGTCCCCACGCAGTGCCTGATCCCATCCTACCTGGCCGCTCCGACAAACCTTAGCTCCGCCCCCAAATCGGCCTGCTGGCCCCACTCCGCGTTCTCCGGTCTCTCGGTCGAGGCCACATTCGCGCAAGCACGCACGAGATCAGCAGTAGGCAGAAGCGCGTTTTTGGTGGCGCGCTGGGTGGGCCTCGTAACGTGCGGACGCGGCCGCAAGGAACCCTCGCAAGAAACACCCAGCCCTGCCGACCCCGGAAGCGCGATATGAAAGCGGGGGGGAAACCGAAAGCACCCTGAACGCAGCAGCTGCCTCAACGGCCGCGGAAGCCGTCGCGCAACGCGCGGAGCGAATAAACCCAGGGCGCCCCGACGACAACGGCTCGGTTTGTGGATGCGCGTCACCAACGTACCCCCTGATCGTCATCAGCATCGTGATCAGCATCATCATCATCAGCATCACCATCACCATCGTAATCATGATTAGCATCGTAATCAGCACCACCACCATCACCATCATCATCATCATCATCATCACCACCATCATCATCACCGTCATCATCACCATCACCGTCATCATCATTAGCAGCATCATCACCACCATCATAATCATCATCATCATCATCAGCAGCAGCAGCATCATTGTCATCATCGTCATCAGCATCATCATCATCATCATCATCATCACCATCACCATCATCATCATCATCATCATCATCATCATCATCATCATCATCATCATCATCGTCGTCGTCGTCGTCGTCGTCGTCGTCATCATCGTCACCACCATCCTCATCCTGACCCTGGCGCTGCGGGCCTCTCGCGGTCTCTCTCCGCGTAGCCCCGCGGCGCCCGCGCGCGCGCAGCCGCGCGCGGGCACCGCGCACGCGCGCTCGGACGGGTGCCGTGCGCGCGACAAAAGACGCGCCGAGCGAGCCGCACGCGCGAGGCGACGCCGAGCGAGCCGAACGCGCGAGGCGGGCGAGGCGGGCCAGGCCACAAGCGAGGCCAGGAGGGGGAGAGGGAAGGACGCCCCATCCCCATCCTCATCCTCGTCCTCATCCTCCTCCTGGTCGGCGGGCGGGGAGGGCGGCCGCCGCGGGGGCCTCCGCGCCGACGTGCGGCCTCCCCGCGCAGGCGGCCTCCGGCGCGACCGCGCCCCGCGGGACGGGGCGCCGCGGCGGCGGCGCGAGCGCGGCGGCAGCGCGAGCGCGACGGCGGCGGCGGCGGCGGCGAGGCAGAAGGGCGCGGTGGTCGCGCCTCGCGGCCCTGCTGGTCCTGCCGGCTGCGCTCCTGCTGCCCCCCCCTGTGCTCACCGCTCCTGCTGTGGCCTCCCTTCTTGAGCTCCCCTCCTCCTCCTCGTCCTCCTCGTCCTCCATCCCTCTTTCTCTCGCTCTCTCTCTCTCTCTCTCCCTTTCTCTCTTTCGCGTGTTTGTTATTTCTCTCTCTCTCTCTCTCTCTCCCTTTCTCGCTCTCTCTCTCTCTCTCTCTCTCTCTCTCTCTTCCTATATAGCTATACACATATAGTCTATAGATGCATGTGCATGTGCATCTATATACACATATATGTGTGTGTGTGTTTATATATATATATATATGTATATATGTATACATCCGCCGATCCGGCGTGCGAGTTTCTGAAAGCGTGGTCTTGAGCTGGCTCAAGCTTCGCTCTGCAAGGCGGAGGGGGGGGACGACATTCCCGACGCCATTCAGTGCTCGGGAGCGGGGGGGGGTCGCTCTGCAGGGGGGGGTACGTCATTCCCGACGCCATTCAGTGTTCGGAAGCGGGGGAGGGGTTGAGGGTTCGCTCTGCAAGGAGGGGGGGGGGGGGACGCCATTCCCGACGCCGTGCAGTGCTCGGGAGCCGGGGAGGGGGTCGCTCTGCAAGGGGGGGGGGGGGGGGCGCGCGCCATTCCCGACGCCATTCAGCGCTCGGGAGCCAGGGGGGGGAGGGTTCGCTCTGCAAGGGGGGGGGACGCCATTCCATGCGCCATGCAATGCTCGGGGGCGGGGAGGCTTCGCTTTCGACGGTCCCATGAACTCCCGGGACCGCGACAAGACGGCTCTCAAGGCTCCCACCAAGACGACCCCGAAACGGCGCAAGGGAACGCCAGGAAGGCCCAAGAAGCGCCCAAGTCAGTCCAAGAGGGCCCCACCAGGGCCCCAGGAGAGGCCCAAGAAGAACAGCCCGAACCGAAAATGCGCCGATCCGGCGTGAGTTTCTGAGAGCGTGGACTTGGGCTCGCTCAAGCTTCGCTCTGCAGATGGAGGGGGGAGGGGGAACGACATTCCCGACGTATTTAGTGCTCGGGGGCAGGGGGTCCACGCCATCAAATGGAAGGGGGCGGGGGACGCCATTCCCGACGGCATTCCCGACACATTTAGTCCTCGGGGACGGGGGGGCCACGCCATTCCCGACGCCGTTCCGACGCTCTGACCATGGAGAAGGGGGTGGGGTCGACGCCATTCTAAATGCCATTCCCGACGCATGTCGTGCTCGCGAGAGACGCCTCCAAGACGCCACAGTAGGTATCCAACCACCTGCGAAGAGAGATCCACGAGGTCAAAGTTGTCAAACTCCTATGGGAAAGCGTACACTTTTACCTTACACGACATTTCGGCCTTCACGACGTTGCCGACGGTCCCGGAGGCCCCCGAGACCGCGTCAAGACGGCTCAAGAGGCTCCCAAGACGACCCCAAAACGGCCCAAGAGGGCGCCAAGACGGCCCAAGAAGCGCCCAAGCCGGCCCAAGAGGGCTCCAAGACAGCCCCAGGAGGCCCAAGAGGGGTCTCTCAAGGTTCTCAAGAAGCTCCAAGAAGCCCCCCAAAGGCCCCAACAGGCTCTCAAGAAGCCCCCAGGAGGCCCCAGAAGGCCCCCAAGAGGCCCCAAACCGACCCCCAAGAGGCTTTCCCAGGTACCTTATTCAATCCCCTGAGCCTCAGTCCTGAAGCCTGAGGATGTTTTCATGGGCCCAGACCCCAAACTCTCAAATCTCTTGGGGCTCTCCGCGCGCCTTCTGGGGCCCCCAGAATGTTCCCGCATGACTCTTTCGAGCCCAAGAGAGGCCCAAGACGTGCCAACAGGGCCTCAAGAGGCCCTCAAGACGGCCCAAGAAAGCCCCCAATCACCGAACGATCGGTCCAGGACGCCCAAGTTGCCCCAAGACGGCTCGAGAAGCTTTCGAAACGACCCAAGAGCCCACGAGCCCTCCCAGGAGTGCCCCGAGAGGCAAAAACCATTCATTTCCTGTGAATTGTTAAATATGTGTGTGTGGAGGGGGGGGGGAGAGAGGGTTCTCTCCTCTTCAAATTTCCGACGTTCCCTGCTCTCACTTTTACGTCCTCCCGACCGCACCCCTGAGAATTCACACCATTTACATCAACACCACCGTAATCATTATCAGCGTCATTGTGGGCACACCACTATCATCATCACAACCGCCATCACCATCACCAGCATCACAATCCTGATTCTCGACGTCGTCATCACCATCTTCATGCTCTCCACCATGGCCATCAACAAAATAAATATCATCATAGTCCGCCGGCCCCCTTGTGGGGACACCAGGCTGTAGGCGCGAGGTTCGCAGTTTGCTGTACCAGTTGTAGCTTGTAGTTTCCAGTGTTACAGTTGTGCTTCTTGCTGGTTAAGCTTGTAGTTTCCAATGTTACAGTTGTGCTTCTTGCTGGTTACTGTAACTAGTTGATTGACCGCGCGAGGGGGGGGGAGGCCCAAACCAGATTTTTTAGCGTCTCCTGGGCGCGTTGTCTGAATTGCTGGGGGGGCTCGAAATCGACACCCCTCACGCAGATCCGCGGGGTCAGGGTCCAAAAACACAGGGGATTTGCCACATTTCTCAAATTCGGTGCCACCCCTCACGCAGATCCGCGGGGTCAGGGTCCAAAAACACAAGGAATTTGCCACATTTCTGAAATTCGGTGCCACCCCTCACGCAGATCCGCGGGGTCAGGGTCCAAAAACACATGGGATTTGCCACATTTCTCAAATTCGGTGCCACCCCTCACGCAGATCCGCGGGGTCAGGGTCCAAAAACACAAGGGATTTGCCACATTTCTGAAATTCGTTGCCACCCCTCACGCAGATCCGCGGGGTCAGGGTCCAAAAAAACATCGGATTTGCAACATTTCTGAAATTCGGTGCCACCCTTCACGCACATCCATCGCAAGGCGTGGTAACCCAAACTGCGAGAACTCCCTCGGCCCTTTAATCGCAAGGTGTGGTAACCAAGCCCGTAAACCATACACGTCTTACCAATCGCCAGGTGTGGTAACCCCTCTTGTGATCAGTTGGTTTTGCTGATTGCGAATCGGCTTCGCATGAAGTTTCGATACTGCTTCACGACAGCGCCAAGGCCTCATGACTTAGCTCTTCCATGGCCCATTATTCGAGAGAGGAGGCCGGCGGCAAGGGGCGAAGCCCTTACGGATCATCCTCATCACCAGCACCACCAGTATCATCATCATCACCACCACCATCATCATCACCGTCATCATTACCATTACCGTCATCATCATTAGCAGCATCATCACCACCATCAGAATCATCATCATCACCACCACCATCATCACCACCACCACCACCACCACCACCACCATCACCATCACCATCACCATCATCATCATCATCATCATCATCAGCATCATCAGCATCATCATCATCATCATCATCAACATCATCAACATCAACATCAACATCAACATCATCATCATCATCATCATCATCATCATCATCACCACTAACATCATCATCATCACCATCATCCTTATCCTGACCCTGGCGCTGCGGGCCAGCCCCGCGGCGCCCGCGCGCGCGCAGCCGCGCGCGGGCACCGCGCATGCGTGCTCGGACGGGTGCCGTGCGCGCGACAAAAGACGCGCCGAGCGAGCCGCACGCGCGAGGCGACGCCGAGCGAGCCGCACGCGCGAGCCGACGCCATCATCATCATCATCATCATCATCATCATCATCATCATCATCATCATCATCATCATCATCATCATCATCACCATCACCATCACCATCACCATCACCATCATCATCATCATCATCATCATCATCATCATCATCATCATCATCATCATCATCATCATCATCATCATCATCATCATCATCATCATCATCATCATTATCGTCATCGTCATCATTCTCCGGAGCGCACCCAGATCGGCTGCACTGGCAGGAGGCCAGCACAATTAAAACAAGCCCTGTCGCACCCCCAAGCATTCCGGTAGGGCAGAATGGGCGTGTCGTCTGCGTCTCCCTCATCACCTAAGATCCTGAAGCTGGAAAACTGCAACAGCCTCAAGGATAAAGGGCGGGTCGTTTTCGAAATGTGGCTCCCGCCTTAGCGACTGAGGACAAGTCGCTTTCACGACTGAGGACAAGCCGCTTTTACGACTGAGGACAAGTCGCTTTCAAAATGTGGACATTGCCGTAGCGCCGCGCACATTCGTCTTAACAGATCGCAGCAGCTTCAAGGGTGGAAGGCGGCTCCATAATACGGCCCTCGCCCCAGCAACGCACTCATTTGACAAGTTCGCACCAGTTTACAAGGACAATCCCGAGAAGAGCCTTCTGGCACGATAGTGTATTGTCAGGACGCAAGAGTCAAGTCGACTCGCGGATTCTTGAGCAGTTGTCTTCCACTGGGGCATATCCCGCAACGCGAATATATAAATTCTTGTAGGGGCCAATCAGAGGGAACTAGGAGTGAGGGTTTATGGCAACCTCTTTGATGCGTCATGCGTCGTTTACATTGTTCGTCGTCGTCCTGCTCCTCCTCCTCGGAAGCCCGCTCCTGGTCGTGCAGCTGCAGCTGATGGTGGAGCTGCAGCGGCTCGTACCGGGGGGGGCCTTCAATCAACCTCTGCTGGTGTTGCTGCTGCGGGGGCACCGGCAGCCCAGCAGCTGGCGACTGCCGCGGCTGCTGCTTAGGTCGCTGCTGGTGCTGCTGCTGTCGCTGCTGATGCGTCGGCGCTTGGTGCCAAGTCTGTTGCTGCTGCTGCTGCTGCTGCTGCTGCCGCTGCTGCTGCTGCTGCGCCTGCGGCTGCCAGCCGCCGGACGGCCCTGCGGAAAGAGGGCGGCAACTGTACAGCTATAAAGTCGTCCACAACCAAGCCAGGCTCACGACTTTGAGGTATCCCCCCTTGCTGAGGAAGAAAGAACTGCACAAACATGAGGTCCGCGCAGATTTCTCGGTTCTGCGCTGATGCCACCTCCCTGGCGTTCGGAGCGCGCCAGGGCGGCGCTGGAGGCACCGCCCCAGGGGCTTCTAGCGCAGATCCAAGAAATCCAAGAGGAATTCCGAGAGTTTATGCTTATGCAGCTGTTCCTCTTCGCGGCAAGAGGGCGGCAACTGTACAGCTATAAAGTCGTCCACAACCAAGCCAGGCTCACAACGTTGAGGTATCCCCCCTTGCTGAGGAAGCAAGAACTGCACAAACATGAGGTCCGCGCAGATTTCTCGGTTCTGCGCTGATGCCACCTCCCTGGCGTTCGGAGCGCGCCAGGGCGGCGCTGGAGGCACCGCCCCAGGGGCTTCTAGCGCAGATCCAAGAAATCCAAGAGGAATTCTGAGAGTTTATGCTTATGCAGCTCTTCCTCTTCGCTTGCAGTCCAACACTGATGGTAAGGACGCGCGATGAGGATGCAAGGGCCCTGAACGCCCATGCCGAAGCTTCTCGGCCGTGGTTGTCCATCGCAAGTGGTTGAGGATGGACCGAAGATGACCGAAGGGACAAGGATGCAAGGGTAAACTTCGGTCGCGCATGTCCTCCTACAGGCGGCTTCTGGGAGAAGGATGCAGCATTTCCTAAGAAGGACCAAGAATAGCCAAAAGAGCACGACAAGTCGTCCCCACACTGACTGTTTACTCTTCTTGGATCTAACTCCTGTAGAGGGGCACGCCCGACTTAAGGGTACCCTTGTAGAGAAAGAAGAACCGCCACAAACATAAACTTTTGGCGCTCCACGCGGATTTCTTGGATCTGCGCCGCCCCCCCTCCCTGGCGCGCTGAGCGGGCCGCTGGGGGGGGGGGGCGCCGCCGATCCAGGCAATCCGCGCGGAGCGCCGACAGTTTATGTTTATGGCGTTTTCTCTTGTTTGAAAAAAGGGTGCCCTTGGGACGTCGATCCTCCGTACTATCGTGAAGTCGGGCGTGTCCCCCATACAAAGGAATGTTCCATGAAAAATTACCCTGTGACGTAACCAACACATTTGTATCAATGGAAACGAGGAGTTGGCCGAAACTTGTATGGACAATCAACTTGATGTGTGAGCTACTTGGGAGGCGTCACTGTGCTGGGCCCCGCCAGCAGGCCTCGAAAGTGGCGACGGTTTCACAGATCGCAACCCCCCAGGGGTGGCGAGGTCTAATTTAAATCTGCGTGTGGCATCACTGCGCTGGGCCCCACAGCGGGCCGCGAAAGTGGCGACAATTTCGCAGATCGCAGCCCCCCAGGGATGGCGAGGTCAACTTTGAATCCGCCGTGGGTACCCACTGCACTGCCCCCCCCAGCAGGCCTCGAAAGTGGCGACAGTTTCACAGATCGCAGCCCCCCAGGGATGGCGAGGTCAACTTTGAGTCCGCCGTGGGTACCCACTGTGCTGGGCCCCCCAGCAGGCCTCGAAAGTGGCGACAGTTTCACAGATCGCAGCCCCCCCAGGGATGGCGAGGTCCCATGTGAGTCCGCCGTGGGTACCCACTGTGCTGGCCCCCCCGGCCGCCCTCGAAAATGGTGACAGTTTCGCAGATCGCAGCCCCCCAGGGATGGCGAGGTCACATTTGAGTCCGCCGTGTGTACCCACTGTGCTGGGCCCCCCAGCAGCCCTCGAAAGTGGCGACAGTTTCGCAGATCGCAGCCCCCCAGGGATGACGAGGTCTAATTTGAATCCGCCGCGGGTGCAGACTGCGCTGGGCCCCCCAGCAGCCCTCGAAAGTGGCGACAGTTTCGCAGATCGCAGCCCCCCAGGGATGGCGAGGTCCCATTTGAGTCCGCCGCGGGTGCAGATTGTGCTGGGCCCCCCAGCAGGCCTCGAAAGTGGCGACAGTTTCACAGATCGCAGCCCCCCAGGGATGGCGAGGTCCCATTTGAGTCCGCCGCGGGTGCAGACTGTGCTGGGCCCCCCAGCAGGCCTCGAAAGTGGCGACAGTTTCGCAGATCGCAGCCCCCCAGGGATGGCGAGGTTTGAAGCAGGCTGTGCTGGGCCCCCCAGCCCTCGAAAGTGGCGACAATTTCGCAGATCGCAGCCCCCCAGGGATGGCGAGGTCAACTTTGAATCCGCCGCGGGTGCAGACTGTGCTGGGCCCCCCAGCAGCCCTCGAAAGTGGCGACAGTTTCGCAGATCGCAGCCCCCCAGGGATGGCGAGGTCCCATTTGAGTCCGCCGCGGGTGTAGATTGTGCTGGGCCCCCCAGCAGGCCTCGAAAGTGGCGACAGTTTCACGGATCGCAGCCCCCCAGGGATGGCGATGTCAAGCCTGAGTTCCCGTAAGACGTCACTCCGCTGCCCCCCCCAGCAGCCCTCGAAAGTGGCGACAGTTTCACGGATCGCAGCCCCCCAGCGATGGCGAGGTCTAATCTGAGTCCCCGTAAGACGTCACTGTGCTGGGCCCCCCAGCAGCCCTCGAAAGTAGCGACAGTTTCACGGATCGCAGCCCCGCAGGGATGGCGATGTCTAACCTGGGTCCCCGTAAGACGTCACTGTGCTGGGCCCCCCAGCAGGCCTCGAAAGTGGCGACAGCTTCACAGATCGCAGCCCCCCAGGGATGGCGAGGTCTAATCCGCCAGCCCCCTTGTGGGGCCACCAGGCTGCGAGGCGCGTGATTCGCAGTTTCCTGTACCAGTTGTAGTTTGTAGTTTCCAGTGTTACAGTTCTGCTTCTTGCTGGTTGCTGACTTCTTGCTGGTTACTGTAACTAGTTGATTGACCGCGCGAGGGGGGGGGAGGCCCAAACAAGACTTTTAGCATCACCTGGGCGCGTTGTCTGAATTGCTGGGGGGGCTCGAAATCGACACCCCTCACGCAGATCCGCGGGGTCAGGGTCCAAAAACACATGGGATTCGCCACATTTCTGAAATTCGGTGCCACCCCTCACGCAGATCCGCGGGGTCAGGGTCCAAAAACACATGGGATTTGCCACATTTCTGAAATTCGGTGCCACCCCTCACGCAGATCCGCGGGGTCAGGGTCCAAAAACACATGGGATTTGCCACATTTCTGAAATTCGGTGCCACCCCTCACGCAGATCCGCGGGGTCAGGGTCCAAAAACACATGGGATTTGCCACATTTCTGAAATTCGGTGCCACCCCTCACGCAGATCCGCGGGGTCAGGGTCCAAAAACACATGGGATTTGCCACATTTCTGAAATTCGGTGCCACCCCTCACGCAGATCCGCGGGGTCAGGGTCCAAAAACACATGGGATTTGCCACATTTCTGAAATTCGGTGCCACCCCTCACGCAGATCCGCGGGGTCAGGGTCCAAAAACACATGGGATTGCCACATTTCTGAAATTCGGCGCTACCCCTTACGCAGATCCGCGGGGTCAGGGTCCAAAAACACAGGGGATTTGCACATTTCTGAAATTCGGTGCCACCCTTCACGCACATCCATCGCAAGGCGTGGTAACCCAAACTGCGAGAACTCCCTCGGCCCTTTAATCGCAAGGTGTGGCAACCAAGCCCGTAAACCATACACGTCTTACCAATCGCCAGGTGTGGTAACCCCTCTTGTGATCAGTTGGTTTTGCTGATTGCGAATCGGCTTCGCATGAAGTTTCGATACTGCTTCACGACAGCGCCAAGACCTCATGACTTAGCTCTTCCATGGCCCATTCTCCGAGGGAGGGGGCCGGCGGCAGGGGGCGAATCCCTTACGGATATGAGTCCCCGTAAGACGTCACTGTGCTGGGCCCCTCAGCAGCCCTCGAAAGTGGCGACAGTTTCACGGATCGCAGCCCCACAGCAATGGCGAAGTCTACTCTGAGTCCCCGTAAGACGTCACTCCAGCAGCCCTCGAAAGTGGCGACAGTTTCACGGATCGCAGCCCCCCAGCGATGGCGAGGTCTAATATGAGTCCCCGTAAGACGTCACTGTGCTGGGCCCCCCAGCAGCCCTCGAAAGTGGCGACAATTTCACAGATCGGGGGAAGGGAGGAGAGGAGGGGGGCGGGAAGGAGGAGGAGGAGGAGGGGAGACGCGACCGCAGTGCTCTATTCAAAACGAGTACCCAACGCAGGAGGGTTGGGATAACAAATACGCAAAACATGCTCCACAATGGTCAAAACATACCTATACGACCACCCTTCGGGTGATAAGGAGGTTCGGGGGGGGAGGAACCAACGTCTCACTCGATCGGTCTCACTATCGATCCCACTATCGATCTCAGTATCGGTCTCGCTCGATCGATCTCCCTCGATCGATTTCACAATCGATCTCACTCGATCTATCTCACAATTGATCTGACTATCGATCTCACAATCGATCTCACAATCGATCTCACAATCGATCTCACAATCGATATCACATTCGGTCTCACTATCGATCTCACTATCGATATCACAACCGCTCTCACAATCAACGTCATCATCATCATCATCATCAACCACAACATCAACATCAACATTATTATCACCAACATCATCATAATCGGGACACCGTCCTCATCATCAACACCAACATCATCATCACCACGGTCATCAACATCATCGGGACACCACCATCATCATCATCACCATCATCACAATCATCATCATCAGCATCATCATCATCAGCAACATCGGGACACTGTCATCGGCATCATCATCATCATCATCAGCAGCACCATCATCGGGACACCATCATCATCACCATCGTTATCATCATCATCATCATCATCATCATCATCATCATCATTATCATCATCATCATCTGGACACCATCATCATCATCTCATCCTGATGATCGACATCATCATCATCATCAGCATCATCAACATCATCATCAGCATCATCATCATCGTCATCATCTGGGCACCATCATCATCATTACCAACATCAGCATCAACATCATCATCACAATCATCATCA